CAGAGACAGCAAAACGCGTTTAGTCCCGTCGAGGAAATCACAGGCCCTGTCTAAGCAGGAGCTCCCGTGAGCCTGAGCGCTGGGCGCAGCTGTGGGCACAGAGCTGCCGGGCTGCAGCGGGCTGCTGTGGGCGGGGCGTTCGAAGTGCGTCACTGCCCGAGGTTCGGGGCCTTCGAGGTGCGTCACTGTCCGAGGTTCGGGGCCTTCTAGGTGCGTCATTGTTCGAGGGGCGGGGCCCGCAGGAGAGGGAGTCTGGTTGATCATGGTGATTTATCTGGTAGCGGAGTGCTGCTGTCACGCTGTGCGCTCGGGGCTTTATACTGTACTTAATATTCGGAATAACTTTCGGACTATTGCTTTTTTTTTTTTTTTTATCGAAGACTCTGTTGCGCCGAAAAGAAATTTCGGTTATTAGTCCGGATTTCGTTTTCCGAAGATTAAAAACCGCGCCAATCGGCGCCACCGCCTCAGACAGGATCATAGGACAGGACAATGATCCCAAAACCTACAGGAAAAAGAGCCGAAAAATTCATTCTTTCCATCGAAAACTGCGCAAAAGACTCTTCGAGAAAGGAAAAAACGACAAGTAAAACGATTATAGTCCGACAAAAGCGAGGACGTCCGGATGTAAAACATTCCAGGTTTGCTCAAGACCCCAAATTACAAATCTCGAAATCGTTCTTCTCTACTTCCTGCGAATCATGTCTTACAAACTCATGGTCAGTGCGGATTCAGTTGTACATTCCGATATACCTGCAGGTCCAAAGCGTCCGAACCGACCGCGACTCGGGTCTCGGCTCTGCGAGACCCGGTTTTCTTGTAAACCGTGAAGTTAGTCTCTCGCTTCCCCGCCTCGCAAAACCCCTTGACTTCTTTCTGCCCACAGTCCGGCACCAGAGCAGAGTGCATTCTCTCTGTGTATGGAGTTTCAGCTCAGCCCACAACACCCTGTCCTCCACTCCGACAGTTTACAGCTTGTACAGGTGACCGACACCTTTCTCTGCCCGTCCACTCCAGAAACCGCGCTCTGCCACCGTGTCTCTGTAGTGTTGAGGTGAACAGAAGCGGAACTTTCTCGCTGAGAGAGCGAGCAGAGAAGTAGGACAAGTAGCTACTTTCACAGTGAAACAACGAAGAGACACGAACACCATTTGAAACCCAAATCTTTTCACGTCTTATTTTTACAACTGCAGTAGATCTATTGGTGTCACACCAGAAATAATTCCTGTACAACATACTGACGTGCAGTAGTGTTGTATTAATTTCACAAAAGTACTTGGAAACTGATGGATGTAGCAAACACACAAATATAAAGAGAGGAATTAAAACCGGGTCAGTAGCACAACACCTTCAATGAAAACTCGAAAACACTTGGGTGTTAAACACAATCGTTATTTAGAATTTAAACTTTCGAAATGTAACGCTGGAAATGAGCACGAAGAATCCTGTCCTTCACCACTTCAGACAGGATCATAGTAAAAGGGAATTATTCTTCGGATTTTTATTTCTCACCTAAAATGCACAAAGGGGTCTTCGATACAGAAAAACTCGTCAAGAACAGCCAGCGCCCACCCTATAATAAACATACGGAAGAATATACCAGTAATCCAAGAAGCAAATCCGAAATGCGAAAGGAATTTAATTTAAACTTTAATTTAAATAGCCAGGAGCCCGCAGCGCGACAGCTCTCCGCTTCCGGATAAATCAC